GCCTAGTGGTTAGTCTGTAAAACACTGAAGCACCCCAGTTTTCACAAGCAATGCTGAGGAAATACAGTGCTTTTACTGAACTTCAATCAACATGAACTTGTAGCCAGTCACTTTTGGAACAGCTCAGGTGCCATGCTGTGTGCGCCCTACCCCTTAAGTGCTTATTTATTCTTGGGAAAAAGTGAACCCCAAAGCTCAGCATAAAATGGGTGCTCCAAGAAAAGTAGTGGTATTTATAGAGGTCTTTTGAAGCCATGGAGTCTTAAAGTCTGCTTAATACTTTTAGAGAGTGAAGGGAATTAACTAACTTACATAATGCTGCTCAATTACATTCCAGCTCTCATGAGACTGTAAGTGACCCCTTAAATATAAATCGGATTCAGGACTGTCTTCCTAGTTGTGTGTACATTTCTCTCTCTGTTCTTTAGTGCCTCTTCCAAGTAGCACTTTAGTGAAGCTCTTCAGATTGTCACTGTTTATCCATGAGATTAATGACATTAACTACTAACAGATCAAGAAGCCAATATTGAGTAGAAACCAAACTCACGGGAGAAAAAAGCTGGCCTTTAGGCTTTGTCTTTTTCCCCACTCATGTTCAGTGATGAGCTGCCCAAGTTCCCTTCGAAGGTACCAGAAAGGGGCAGTATGAAGCAAGGAGGTCAAGGCAACTCTCATGTTTGCTTAAACCCATGTATCTCTTTGATTACTTGTGTGAAGAAGAGAGCTCTCTCTTTCTTGGATGTTGGGAAGAAAGGCTTCAGACTTAAGGTCTTGCCAGCAGGTTGCTATAAATCATGGTTTATTTAAAGAAGCTTTTGCAAGTATGCGTAAGTTCTTAAATAGTTTAACCACAAACTGGATATTTTTTTTTAACATTGCTATAAGTGTGATATTACCTATGACTATTAAAAAACGTTTAACCAACTGCAGGTCTTAAATGTAGATGAAGTCTGGTAGAAGGGATATATCATCTTCAGGTGAGGCAAAAAAGTTTCCCAGAGGGGAATGCTTTCCTCCTGTGGTTGAAGATGTGCTAGTAGCAATCTTCAAATTTTAATTCTGACATAGTTTACCAGGGGGAGAAAAATATTTCTGTTTGTATCACTACTGTTTTTTTCTAACATGCTTCTTCTACTGAACTTCAGAATGTTTTTAGGGTCAAAAATCTTTTCCCTGAAGAGCATGTGAAGTAAGCTAGCTGGAAAATGTTTGAAGTATGTAATTTTTAGGCATGCTATTTATATGGAAATTTCATAATTTATCAGAGATCTTTAATATGTTCTGGCGTACAGGGAAGCTGCATGTTCTTATAAAAAAGATTACAATATTTCTGGATACAGTTTGCATTAAAGAGCCTAACTGCATCTGGAATAAAGACCTACTCTGTGGCATGTGGTGACATCTGTGAGTTGACTTTTTGTAACCATTTTCTGATAGCAGTAGGGCCTAATGGGGGTTTCAGATCATACTTGCTTTTTTGCCTTTTTTTTTTTAACTTGTAGCTCTGAGCCCTTAGACTGTGCTGAAGTTGCGCTTGGTAGCTGGGATTTCTGGGTGATACTACATTCACTGCTGGTTTAGCCTCAGCTTCTGCTGTCTGGTTTCAACATGGCGTGGCTCAGGTTCTGTCACTGAGCAAAGGCATCATTACTATATTCCACAAACTTGCTGTCCTTGACGCATCTTTCAGGCTCTGAGATTAATGTAATGGGAATGCAGGTTCACCTCAGCGTTGCAGGTGAGCAGCTGGGAGTCCATATTACTGAAAAAAGTATAGAAGCAAAACTGCTGAGTATGGAGATTCAGTTGTATAATGTATGACTGAAGTAATGCATCTGGAAATACTGCACTTTTACTGTTCAGGTAAAAACAGATTTTCTGAGAGAAATATTCATCTAGGGAAATGTGTTCAAGTCTCAAAACATCATTCATGTAGTCACTTGAGACCTAGAGATACAGAGTTTTACACCTGTCCTGTTTGATTGTAATATCATCTGGTCTTCTCTAACACTGTAGACATAATAAAGAAGGAATAAACAGGTAAGAGTTAATAATTGTGTTAAAGAATTAGAGCACTAAAAATATTATAAGTTATCTTCACTATCTCAGTTTTTGAAAACGCTTTATTCTGTCATAGCTTTTTATTTTCCTTTTTATTTTCTTTTGCATAACTTGAGAAGCTACAACTTCAGCTTTTCAAAGATCAGAGTTCTGCTTTAATTCCCTCTGTTAATGATCTGTACTACTACTATAAACAAGGGAAAATTAATAGAGTTAAGTAAGCTAGAAAGAGAGTATTTAGGAACATAGGTTATTAAAGGCACTGAACAAGAAAAGTTGCCACAAGAGGAGACTTAAGAACAACTTAGAAATTACAAAAGGTGTTTGAAGTTTTAAATCAGTTAATGAACACTGAAGTGAAAACTTATCAGGACCATCACAAGACACTTTTTCAAATACCTAAAACTAGTCAAAGTCTGTGTATGTTTATATATATATATAAAAATAAAATCTTTTTCTTCCTTTAACTTAGTTTACATTTGGGAAGCCATCTTGTTGATATATTTGGTATTTTGACACGTTAGTCCTCAGGATTACTGAGATCACTACACAATAATATACACATCAGATGACAAATCACAAATGTGAGTTTTGGAAAGGAGTGATTGAAATGTGAGTGACTGAAAAGGAATCTGTCCCCTTTCAGTAAGGGCCTACCAATGTATTTGCTTATTTTCCTGAGCAGAAGTTATTTATAAGAATGGTCTACTTCATTAATGTGAATGTTCTTAAACTCTTAATTATTTCACTTTTTGTTTTGATGCTTTTAGTCTGTTAGATTTTCTGGTTTAATGGTGATTTTATTTTTTTTAATCTAATTGCCCAAAATAAGCCTGCTTCTGATTTTTGTCTCTGTAGTTGCTAGCTTTCTGGTTTGCCTGAAGTGAGGTGCAAACCAGCTTGATTCCTAGAAGAGAAAATTGCTTCTGAAATCTTCTGTAGTTGTAGCAAAACTGAGAAAGTGTGTGTGAAAGTAAAGCTACTGTGGTAGAAAAAAAGTAAGTTTTAAAACTGATGGCTTGATTGTTGATGAGTTCTGTCTGACTGTGTCAGTGTGGTGATCACAAGTTTATTCTGTACAATTTTGTAAATTTGCCTGAAGATTAACTGCAGCAGTCTTCACCAGGTTTTTGATGAAACATTATGTCTGAGGAGACATGTTTCTAGAAGAGTTGGCAGGCACATGACTTGAAAAATCCATGATATGGCCTAGTGCGCTCTGCATTTTCTTTTTAGGAACTCACTTCTTGTTTAAATACTAGCAGTTGTTATGAGGTGACTTAGAGGTATTATCTCTGATGTTCTTTGTGACCATGGGGGGGCATGGTTTGTGGTGTGGTGTTTTGTTTTGTGTTCCCCTCCCCAGTAGTGGTCTGTGATGTCTACTTAACTTGCTCTTTATATAGCTCCTATTATCAGAGGGTAGTACTGGTGTCACAGTTTTGACAGAATTATTGTTTTCAGGCAGTGAGATGTAACTTAAAAGTCAAGAAATCATGCAACTGTATTTGAAAACCAACTCTTTTTATTTCATGTAATTCTTTCATGTGAAAATTAGGTTCTTTGTTTCTGGTTTTGCTGTTTAGTAGACTGTCTATTTTGGAGAGACTGAAATCTCCTGAACTAGCATAGAACTTTTAGTGGTCAAACAGTGAAACTTTTGTTTCTAACAATGTTCTTTTTAGCTTAGAGCCACAAGTTTAAGGGTTTTAAGCAGGAATACAACTGCTCTCTTCTGCAGAGCTTAAGAGAGTTTAATACATGCTGTTTTCATGTTCAGCTGAAGAGATGCAAAATTTGTTGCTGCTAGAAGAAAGATGTTGTGCTTACTTTTGCTTTTCCCAGTGATGTGATCTCACTTGCTATTACAGATCTGATGCTTTTTAGACCCTTTAATGAGCTGTTTGAATTCACTAAATGGTCAAAAAATATCTAGAGTTAGATTTTATAGTTCTGATTGAGATAGTGGTGTTATAGGCTAGGGAGTTAAAATAGAGCACCTGTGATGAGTCTGGCATAAAATAAATGTCAGGGAGAAAGGGCAGTTGAGAGGAGGAAACGAAAGCCTTCCACTTCTGTAGTTGTAAGCTATTAGACAAATCTGTTTCGTAACGTGGAATTGTACCATCGTGAGGAAGACACATAGTTAGGAGCAAATTACTTTAAAAACGAACAACAAAAAATCCTGAAACTCTGTCCTGTGATCTTTGTTGGTAAGGCATGTTGTGCTAAGCTATACTGCAGACTTCATTTGCTACTGATATGATGGTTTGTGTCAAAAGCAGTGCTGTTTTTGAGTGTATAATTTTCTGACTGTGGGTCAATCACTGATGGTTTGTGTCAAAAGCAGTGCTGTTTTTCTGACTGTGGGTCAATCATGTAAATAACATGCCTTTCAAAGAGTTATTAAACTGTTTGGCTTCTGGCTGATGAATAGAATCAGTGTGGTCTTGATTTGAATGAGCTGATACAACTAGCTAACCTAGACTGCCAATTCTAGTGTATTGTAATACACTTCTGCTTGTTGTCTTGTTCACTTGGTAACAGACTTGACGTTGTCTTTGTATTTTTGTTACATATTTTTTTTAATTGTTCTGCTTTGAGAATGAGATGTATCTTAGGTAATATACACAGAAAACTAAGTGTTTGATCCCAATGTTTGTCCAAAATATTACAGTAAGTTTTAAGATGTCAGTTTCAAGTGCTGTAATGAACAGCTGCGTCTTTATCCTTTTGAGATGCAAAGTGGATTTAACTATTTCTGTGATTAAAAGCCTGTTCTTTAAAACTGGAATTGTCTTCTGTGCAATTGTGTAATTCCCTCTTGACATTTTCTGATTACAATATGAATGCATACTCTGAAAGTTTAGGAATGAAATGCCTTGATTTAATAAACTGAGCTTCAGACAATTCTTTTTTTCTCTTTGTCTCTGCAACAGGTGGAAACAGTATGAAGCATACGTGCAAGCTCTGGAGGGCAAGTACACAGACCTTAATTGTAAGTTAGCCAAGTTTCAAAATGGTATGAGTTGCTCGAATGTTTGTATAAAGCAGAGTGCTCAAGTAATGTCTGTGCTTTCTAAAACTATTAGAAATAAGAGATAATACTCTTACATGTCAGTTAATTGTCATTAAAAAAAAGTCTGTTTTCTAGTGTAAGTTTTCAGCCTTTCCCAACTTTCTCAGACACTTATTTTCCTTACAGATCTTTCACAGCATCTAAAAAGTCTTATTTTTGTATCTGTAGGACCATCTGTACGCAGACTGCTTGGGGGAGGGAAGTCTTAATACATAACTGCACAAATAAGTGTATTTTCAGGATTTTTCTGTTAGGAAAAGTTATCCTCTACCAGAATACTCCATGAATGTTTGTGCCTCCAGTAGTCTCACAAGATTGTAAACCACATGATGCGAGGCAGAATAGTTTGTAGAGGTAAAGGTCTAAAATGAGTCCCTAAGTAGTGTTTGACCTGATTAGGCAAATTAACTACTTAATTGTCAGTCTTAAAAACTTGGTCTTAACATGGTCTTAAAAACTTGGTCTATATTTCAGTCTTTCAAAAGAGAATATGGGAAAGCTGGATATGTTCTAATCACCAATCCTAAGTCACTTTTAAAAATTGTGTTGTCGGGTAGAAATGGGCTCTTTCATGTTTTCCTCCAACTTCTCAGTCTAAATGCTTAGAGATAGTACCACTAAATTTGAAGGTTGTTTAGGGGTTTTTTTGTCAATCCAAAAGGACTCTCTTGTCTCTGTTGTTACATCCCTCTTCTACTGCCACCCCATAATGTTTGAGCTTTGAAGACACTAAAATATAGCAAGTGTAAGCAATTGATTTAACTCTAATCTAAAACTGTCCTAACATAAATATGTTGTTTTAACATTCCTAGTTTCTTGATTTTGGAAACTCTAATACAGGTTGTAGTAAACAGTATTATTGAATTATCTCCAGAGACTTACCTAGAAATAATTGTCCTGAAGCAATTTGTGATGTTCTTGGTTTACATTTACAGCTGATCATTCTGAAGTAATTAGAGAAAATAAAAATTTGATTCCATGCTGTTTGTGTCAGGCTGCTTACAATTGCTCCTGTTTTGAGTAATTTGGAAATGTGCTGTACTGCCTTCTCTTATATTTCATATATAAACTTTTATGGAAGTTCATGGATCAGACAAATTCTAATTGTGACTGAACTGCCACTTGTGAAGTTCTCTAATATCTTACTGTTTACTCATGGAGTGTTGAGACCAGTTTGAGGATTGACCACAAATGGGATTGGTTTTTTGCAGAGTGTAGACTTCCCCCACCCCCCCACCTTAGCCTTAACATTTCTTATCAATATTAGGACAGTTCCAACTTCCCGAGTTTCAGACTTCAAGTAGTAATAGTAATAGTTGGTTAAGCAAGCAAGTTAAAAGTTATTTCCCACATAAACATGGAAACATTTTCAGAAGTTCAGTAAGTTTTAAGGAAGGATCAGAAAGATGTATTTAAAACAGACTGTTGTCAGTCTTTTCTGATACTTTAATGATATTTTGATTTTTCTTATTTATGCTTGTTATAGTCATGCTTATTTGTGACTCTTGTTGTTAATGATTTTTGTTTTTAGATTCTTTCAACTGTCTTTAAAAACTGTTAATGAGAGAACGCTATAAAATGAGCTTTTTGTGTGCTTTACTTCTATTAGCTAATGATGTGACGGGATTGAGAGAATCTGAAGAGAAGTTGAAACAGCAACAGCAAGAGTCTGCCCGAAGAGAAAATATTCTGGTGATGAGGCTGGCAACTAAGGAGCAGGAGATGCAAGAGTGTACTGTAAGTATTTAGAGAGGGATGAGTGTTTTCAGACTGTTCTTAAGCCAGTACTCTTGTGCTATGTTTTTATTATATCTGTAGCATCACGTTTTCTGTGCTTACAGAAATGGCAGGACCCCTAAACTTTTACTGAATTAGTAAAGATAACTTCTTAAAAGTTTACAGTTTAGATATTAGTTATTTCACTTGATTTTCAGCAGCAGTTGTGCTTGGAAGGACTTTTGCTTCAGAACCAAGATAATTCTTGCATGAGCCATTCTTACTTTCTTGTAGCATTGATCAACTCTGCATATTTACCAAAAATGTTACTTCTGACTGTCACTGGATGCAGGAACAAATTGAAATGTAAGGATAGGCTTGAGTTTACTGGGTTTCATTTAGAAGGTTTTAGGTTGATATTTATGTTGGATTTGGCTAACAAGGTATTTGTGAGCTTCCATGTCTGTTTGGCTAGGTAGGGGAAAAAGCTGACTTCTTCAGAGGGACTTCTTTTGAAATTTAGCAGATCTGCTTCTCTGGGTTTGATGTTCTTTGTACTGAATACTTTTTTTTTGTTATTTCTGTTTCTCTCTACTTTAATTCTGTGGGTTTTCTGTGACTGTTTTCTTCTGTGTTTAGATTTGGTTTCTTGAAACTATCTTCTACCACTTTTGGACTTTTGATCTTTTTTGAATTACCTTCTTAACACAATTTTCACCTGCTGCTTTAATTTGGCAGCTCCTGAGAGAAGATTGTAGGAAGGTTATTATTGCTGGATTCTCTAATGTAGTCCTGAGAACTTCTCTCATGAAAAATACAAGTTCTGTGCAAAACCAAGTACTATTGTAGCTTTCCTCTGTTATTTTCTTTTGGTGTTCCTTTCTTTTTTCCTGTAGTTTTTCAGAGCTGTCAGGTGTAATAGTGTGACACTTAACCGTGTACACATTATTTTCACTGCTCTTAAGACCACAAGAGGACTTTAGTTTGTAGTAAGCACTGGTATGAAGACAAAAAGAGGAGGCAGAGCTTACTTTGCAGTGACAAAAAATGAATCGCAGGATCACAGAGGTTGGAAGGGACTTGCAGGTCTCTAGTCTGACCAGCCTGCTCAGAGCAGGCTCAGTGAGAACAGGTTACTGAGGACTGCGTGCAGTCAGGTTTTGAACAGCTAGAACAAAGACTCTAAAACCTCTCTGGGTGACCTGTGCCAGTGCTCACCCACTGTCACAGCAAACAGCATTTTCTTATGTTTAAGTGGAATTTCCTGTGTTTCAGTTTGTGCCCATTGCCTTCTGTGCTTTCAGTGGGCACCACTGAGAAGAGCCTGGCTCTGCCTTCTTTACTCCCCCCATCAGGTATTGATGCACATTGGTAAGATCCCCCTGAGCCTTCTCTTCTCCAGGCTGAGCAGCCCTAGTGCCTCAGCCTCTCCTTTCATGTCAGATGCTCCAACCCCTTAATCACTTTCACGGCCCTTCATTGGCCTCACTCTAATGTGTCCATGTCTCTCTTGTACTCGGGAGCCCAGAACTGAACCCAGTACACCAGTGCCGAGTGGAGAGGAAGGATCACCTCCCTCAACCTCTTGGCAGCACTCCTCCTAATGCAGCCCAGGACACTAATGAAGATCTGTTTTGGTACTATCCTGCAACACTTCCTTAGTAGCAAAGACTACTATATTAATCTTGTTTCTCTTGTTAGCTTTACTGATAAATTCTGCTATGAGGAACAGCAGTAATAAGAGGTGTTTGTTGGTTGTGTTTTTTTTTTTTTTTCTGAAACAATAAATACTAAAATAATTAAATGTAAGTTTTCCACCAAAACCAAAATTGTGTATACTGTTTTCACCTGTCTTCCTATTTCTAAAAGAATAAATTATACAAATAATTCAGGTATTTAAGACTGAATTTTGACAAGATCATTAAGATTATAGGATTTTTGGCTCCACTTTATAGCTGTGATGCATAGACTTTTCAGAACTTCTATTTAGAAGAACTTCCGAAGGGTTTTTATTAATTTCAGTGTACATTTAAAAAACAAAAAAGGGTGGGCGGGAGAAGGGAACAACCCACCAAAAAGAAACAAAAGCTAAACACCCCCCTCCAAGTGTCTTTTTCCAGGTATTGACACATGAATAATATCAAGGATGTAATTTCCATAGTGCATGGAGGTAGGAAGGTACATCCTTGAAGAATGGGGGTAAAAGCCATAATGGAAACATGGGCAGCTTAAAGTGTTTTCAAGTTTAAGTGCATGTAGTTTCAAGAAGCTCTGGAGAACGACTTGGCTTTGTATTATTAAATAGTATTTTTTTCCAGTAAACTAACAGTAGCAAAATAAATTATGTTGCATGAGGTGCAAAGCTAAGCTATAGGTTGCCAAATCTTTTTCATAAAAGAACAAGACCTAATTATACAATAAGTTATTTGGCATGTCTAATTTTTAGTCCATGAAATAACTTTATTTTTAGCATAGTTAACCATTTTTATAATCCATATTTACACATAAAATACACAAGTGACAGTTATTTATATGTAAGCCTTTAATGTTTCCTCTCACATCTTAATTAGAAAGACTGAGCATCAATGGTGTGAAGTTTCTTGAAAACTACAGATAAATAATTACTATATAATAATAACTGTTTGTATTACTCCTAATTTATTCTGGGGACATGTTTTATGCTTGCAAACTTACCACATTCAGATCACATTCAAATTTGAATAGATAAGAACTTAAAAATACCATACCATATTGAAATGGTAGTAGTTGACAAAGGTGTGAGTTTTCTGATTATTGATACATAAAATACCTTGCTAGTTAAAATATGCTAGCTCTGTTTTAAAACAGTGGTAGATTTTCTTAGTTGCTGTTTTTAATTTGTACCCTTTTTTAAAAAAGATAAAATGCAACAAAACCCACTTCAGCTTATAAAAGTCACCAGTTGCCGTCTTGCAAGTGTAGGTGTGCATGTCAGTTAGCAGTAGCAGAATCATTGTCCTGGTGCCATTTCAGTACTCTTTTGGAAGAAACAAGATGGTAGTTGAGTGCATATCTCTATTCCCTCTTGTGCTCTCTGCAGAACCTAGCAGCAGAGTATTTGGGTTTCTTTTGAGCTGGCAGCTTACTGAGAGTCTGATTGGTGTTGCAGACTTACTCTGCATAGCTTAGGGTAGCTAACTAAAGGGCTAGATTGATGTTTAGGAGATTAATACCTCATGTGCCCTATTGTCAGCAGCAGCCTTGAGCTACCTTCCACCTAGCAGGGACAGTGCTCTAAAAGAGGCTGCTGCTGTTAGGGAGGTGCAGGTGAGGTACTGGCTGCTGTTCCTACATAAGCTTTGTTTCTGGCAGAGGTGGTGATGAAGTTATTGCTACTTCGGGGAAAGGCCTTAGCCCCCTCCCAAGCTACCGCATGGCTGCTGTAGGTCAGTAAATGGCCAGGCATTTGGAAGTGTTTGCTACTCAAATGGGTTTTCCATGGAACAGATAACAATGAGTAGAAGCTTCCTGTGGGTGCAGTTGGACCGTAGTACCTAGGTAGTCATTACTCTTAACCTACTTGTGGTTTAGGTTACAGCTCAGATTTTTCTCTCCGTTATGCAGTTTCTTCCCTCCTACTCTCTTACACGAAGGGTATATAGTTGTACTTACTGGATTGCTTACATTTTCTGTTGAGCACCTGTGTTCTGTTTTGTTAAATTCTTCATGTTGGAGGATCTGTTCTTTGTGGGTATCTTCAGATAACTTCAGCTGAAAGGATTCAGCTGTTTCCAAGAATATGTGAGAAGCGGAGGGGTTGAAAATGTTTGTCTATTGGAACAACAATGACAGATTCACCCAAACAAAACCCCACAGAGCCTGATGTCCTCTAAATAGAATACTAGGATACTTTCAGTGTTCTCCTGCCTTGGGAGAGAGCAGAGAGAAAGCCGTGAAAATTCTTCCCTGTTTGTCCAGCTGGTGGGCTTTTGAAAAATACTAGCTAGTGCGTGCTTTTGTGTTCAGGGGTATGAATAGCCAGTGGCGTTCTGGGTGTTAAAGTGGGCACGTCCTGGGGTCTGGCATTGGACGTGACTATATTCAGCTCTAGCCTGAAGTTGGCCCTGACTGCAGGCAAACTCTGCTGCTTTTCCCTCCCCTCCCCAACCACCTGGAATATCAGTGGGAAGAGGGATGTACCAGAGAGTAGTTAGAGGGAGTAAGAATGGGAGGCTTGGACTGGCTAGGCAGGAAGATTAATGGAATAAGGAAGTAGGCAGAAGGATTAAAGAGATATGGGCTTGCTTTGGGGGGAGGTTGGTAGGTCTGGGTGGATGAAAAGCCTGACAAGTGAGAGCTCTGATGTTACAACTGGAGAAAGTACTTGTGGAGGGATGGAGAAAACTTGAGTTGGAAAAATTGGAGGAATTAATGGTCTTCAAATTTTGGGAGGGAGTGAGCAAGGGTTGTTCAGCTTGAGTAAATTCTTCCTACACTACTGTTTTAGGAATGACATTTGAGGTGTTAGAGGGAGCCTATGCAAGTGTTCTCTGCTTGGCCTAGCAGCATAAGCTAGAGACACCCAAATGAGACTGTTAAATAACTGACATTGGACATGAGTGAGGAGCAGGTGGCAGCAATTCTTTGTGCTACTGATCAAAGGAATCTGTTACAGTTCTTAGGCTGTCTGTAGAAGAAGGAAGGAGCTGGGCTTAGGTAAGACAAGAAACATGGTCTCTTCCTCCCTCCCCCCCCCAGTGATACCTGTCAAAAAACAAGTTGGGAACCATGTTGCTGTAGCATAATTATATTCCTGGAATAGGTTGCCAGCTGGAGTGCCCATACGTGTGCAGACATCTGTGAAACTAGCTGTTTTGCCCTCCACTGGTGTTAGCCCTCACAAAGAACTGACAGGTGGTTGAAATACTTCCAGTAGTGCAAGCATCAGAAAGTTGAGTGGATAGGAAAGATATATCAGTTAAATTAAATAGATCTTTATTCTTTGAGCAACATTTTGTGCATTCAGTGAGGCAGAGGACCTGTGGGGGTAAAATGCTGTCCAGGAAATGTTAGGATAATCTTAATTTGGACTTCCTCTTTCTAAGTAATGTTTTTAGGTGGGTTCTTGACTACTTTATTACTTTAAAATATTTTTATATAGTGCTTTATTCCCTTTATATTTCTTTCTGGACACATAGAAGTTTGTGTAAAATTTAAAATGTGATTACTATTTTGGTTTTTCTTCGAAGTAGCAAAATATTTTTATAATATCAAATTCACATGGAGTCAATGTAAATATTTCAGTTAGTTCAATATCTTTGAAATCGCTTATTTGTAATGAAATCCAAGAATTGCTGCTACTTAAGAAATAAATTATGTTGTCCTCAATCAAGAAATGACTGAGGTCACTACTACACATTTTTAAGGTAAATAGAATGCTTGTACTTGCACAGCAGTGGTGAAGAGAAACTGCATGTACAGGAACATGGTTAAACTGATGAAGCTTTGGACTGGGCTGCTTGTCC